GCAACTTCGTTTTGTGCTGACAAATGCTTGGCCACCAGGCCCAATAGCTCCGCCTTTGTCTTCAGCAATTTAATGTCAAAGCTATTTAGCATTGGCTTGGACAGAGAGCTTATGGTTTCAATGTGTTGACTGCTCTTGTTCAGCTGCATCACTTGCTGCAGCTGCTCTTCCTTGATGCGCATGATCGCATTGAAGAGCAGAACATTTGGTATATTGGCAAAGATCTGTCGCATTTGCGACCAGAGCTGATTCTTTGCTTCAGCCAGTTGTTGGCTACTGTGGCCATCTGCATTGCAGATTCTATAGAATTGTTCCAGCTCCTTGAGCGCCTGCTCCACGGCCTTTGTGGCCAGCTTTTCGCTGGCGTTCTTTGCATTTAGTTTCACTGGCATTGTGGATAGGATTTGTGCTTTGTTCGCCAGCTCCTGCTCGTAGGTTTTGTTAAGAGATTCCAGCTTAAGTTGCAGTAAATTATGTCTGGATTGGTGTAGCTGCATTTTGTGTGTTGCGCTAATTGTTTGAATATCTAAAAGAACGAGCGAGAGAGAGACGGACAGTAATATAAAAAAGATTCCCTTTGAGCGTCGCCTGCACTTACTCTTTGTTTTGATAGACGCTGCCAAGCTATCGTACTCTTTCTTAGCTTCTACGAGACACAGCTTCTCCTTTTCCCTCTCCTTGAGCAAGTCCTGCATTTTCAGATGGATTTGTAGCTGGAGTGGCAGAAAACTGCGTCCACAGGCTGGCACCACTTTTCCTTTGTGCTGTGCCACCTGCGCAATCAGCAAATTCTCGCGCACCTCTTGCACATTCTGGCGCGGTTGAATGCGCGACTGCATATTCACAAATAGTTGATTTTGACGCGATTTAAATATGCTGCAATTAATAAAAAAAAAAATGGCAGTTCGACTTGAATTTGAACAGCAAATTTGTTAGACTTACGATTTGAGCGCCTCCTCATTGGGCAGCGCGGCGGGCGGACAGCCTAGGCTGGTGGCCCACTCGCGAAATCCTTTTATCTGCTCGTCAAAATCCATATTTCAAGCAATTTAACTACAAATGTTTTTAAACGCCGCGGCCGCGCACATTCACAGCTATCTACTCACACCAAGGCACCACACAGGGTTGCTAAGCAATAATATATTTGGAAATCATGAAAAGTAATATGTACACACTTAAAATGGAAACTTCAATTCGAAAAGTAACCACACAGCTCTTGTTAGCTCTTGATCTTAAGATGGTGAAATAATTATTTAAATTTATTTATTTACACAAACATTCGGAAAAATTGAATACCATATTGCTTAGTATGTCTAATTGAAATAACTTTGTTATGTACACATTTTTTTAAACAAATTAAAAAATCTTGACTATTAATTATGTTAATCATAAATATTAATCATTATTTTTAACTATGCATTGAGTGACAAATGTCTGAGCCATCACACACTGTGGGCTTTGTGTCCAGCGATGGGTCGGACAGTTTTTAAAATATTCCATATAGGTGCAGCCAAGCACAATGGCTGAAAATGGACTGCATTTTGGTTGCTTTGGATTAAATTGTTGAATGGCTGCCAATCTACGCTGAGCTTGTGGCTCACATTTGGTAAACGCAGCAGTCATAGCCTCCACATAAAGCGTATCATTTGGGAATTTGGCAGTTAAATCGTTTCGTATATGCTCCAAGTTGAGAGATTTCGGCTCTCGTTTGTACTGTGATGTTGTGAGAATGCAATCAGCCAGGCACTAAGAGAAGAGATAAGCGATAGTTAGTTAGTTAACTATCGAAGTTCAGAAAATGGCCCTGTCCTTGACCTGAAACTAATGTTGTTCATTCCTACTTACCGTTGCCGTATCCAAGTTAGGCGGTCCATTTGGTGTACCTACAACTTTCTCTGTACATTTTTCGGCAATTTGATCGCGTCCTCCATCCCGGCAGCAAAGAGCAGGATCCTTAAATTCGAATTAGGTTACCAAATTACAAGAAAATTCCAGATAACTTCAGTAGATTTCTTACCAATAATGGTGGCGGTTTTTGGCAGTCAATTGTTTGGCCATATGCAATCGATCCATATCCCAGCAAAATGAAAACCACAATATTTTTAGAACTCCACATAGCTGCAGCTATTGCTGTTTTGAATGATGCTTAAACTCAAACTGTAAAAATAGTTTAGACAAGTAACGTTTTTATATGAATGGAGAGACAGTTCAGCTGGCTATTAGAACCAGCCACGCAGAACAAATAACTCTGGGCAGGGGTTCATTGTTGCAATTGTTTGCTATTTGGTGCCAATGTCAAATCTAATACCATATTTTGGAACGTTGACATCGTGGACATGAAAACTGGTTAGTTTCATCAAATGAATTTTCAATATACACACATATCTCTCTCGATAAATTAAAAAGTAATTTTAGAGGAAGTACAATTAGCGCATTTAGCTATTCAGATTTCAAGGTGACAACTTTTATAAAAAAAAAGCAAAACCACACATGTTTATGATTATTGATAATTATTGGTAATCCCAAAATTGAAATGCTTAACGGTCATTGGGGTCACTTTTTTTGAGTCTGTCAAAGCTTTTAAAAAATTATCAGGAGAGTGATTGAACTAATGATATTAGTGTAGTGTTCCAATTAATTGTAAGTTGCAAGGCACTGGTCAAAATATTTAAAAATGATGTGCTTTCAATTTAAATGGCATTGGTATTGGTATGCCTGCTTCCTTACATTTAACCAGTAGTGGCCATTAGCCATAGTGGTTAGTGGTTTAACCACTAACATAAGTCTACACTCTGTTAATGATTAACATAGCCCTCTCAGCTGTTGGTTGGTTGGCTATCGAAATCGGATATATCGATAAGAAACGCAAGTCGAAGCAAGCAGATGGATGTGAATAATAAAATGTATTTAGACAAACACAAATAAAAATAACTAATAAATGGTAAATTCATTTAATTTTATATTTAAATAACAGATTAATTGTGGGCGATGTGCGCGGTCGCTTCAAGCAGCTGTTCAGCCGAGTGGAGCAGGTTAACAAAAAAGCGGGACCATTTGAGATTTTGTGCTGCGTCGGTGATTTTTTTGGCGCCGAAAAACAAAACGAGGAACTAATTGCCTACAAGAATGGCTTTAAACACAGTAAGTGGAGTGGATTTAAACTGAAATTATTGTAATAATTAAATGCTATAGCTTTATGTTTATTTTACAGTTACCGTGCCCACTTATATACTGGGACCCAATAAGGAGGAGGATAAAAAATACTACGAAGATTTGTCAGATGGCGAAATCTGCACGAATCTAACATATTTGGGCAAACGAGGAGTTTATACGCTTAGTAGTGGGGTTAAAATTGCCTATTTAAGTGGCGTTGAAGCAGCAGCGAGCAGTGGACCGAAATGCAGCGAGCATGAATTTACTAAAGCTGATGTACAAGCCGTGCGCAATTCCTGTTTGATTGCAAAGAACTGTGGCACGGATTACAGAGGCGTGGATGTACTCTTAACTTCCCAATGGCCATACGGCATGCAGGAGGAACAGAATGTAACTAATTGCATATATGATGCATTCTAGTTTATAATCAAATTATTGCCTATTTTATACACCTGACAGTCGAAGGCGTCCAAGCTGATTTCGTTTCTGTGCCGTGAAATTAAGCCTCGCTATCATTTCTGTGCGATCAATGGTGTCTACTATGAGTGCCCGCCCTTCCGAATGCCCAAGGATGATACTACGCAATTTGAGCTGTGTACGAGATTTATATCACTCGCTGACGTGGGCAACGCAAATAAGGCTAAATATATTTATGCTTTGAGCTTAAAGCCTGTGGACAAAGCGCGTTTGCTTGATCTGGTGCAGAAGACAACAAATGAAATCGAATGCCCGTTCATTGGCTTGAAGATGGATGGCGTTATTAACCAGAATGAAACGGTGAGTTTTTGCAATATTTACTTATATACATAAAATTATCTTTCTGTTATAGTCGGAGAGTCGACAATACTTTTATGATATGGACTCGAGTGGCAATCGGAAGCGACGCAGCGAAACGGACAAACGTGATAAGCGACCAAGGATAATGCATATAGACCAAGGTATGAAATATTATCAGAAATTATTATGAATGCGTTTCAATTTATTGATATCGCTTTACAGATAACTGCTGGTTCTGTTTGTCCTCGGAGAAAGTGGAAAAACACTTGATTATCGCCGTGGGTGAACGTTTCTATTTGGCATTGGCCAAAGGGCCTATAAATAGTCATCATGTTTTGATCTTGTCAACCCAACATATACCTTGTGCTGCTCAGCTCAGCTCAGAGGATTGGGAAGAGCTGCTTAAATTTAAAAATGCTTTGCGTAAACTCTTCCAAAGCCTGGGACAAGTTGCTTGCTTTACAGAGCGACATTATAAGACTTCACATTTGATTATAGACGTTATAGGCTTCGAGGAGGGCTATGCGTGGAAAATAAAACATAGTTTTGAGGTAATGTTCAGACTACATTTATATTTCGTTACAAGTTTATTATAAAGTTTAAACTAACAGTTCATTTATTAAGTCATAAATATCCGATTTATAATATTCCCGCTTTCAGGATAAAGCTGAGGAGTTTAATTTAGAATTTGAAACATTGCCCGCCTTGACTTCTCCCAAAATGCTACCTGAAGTGGGTCCCTATTTCCTGGCAGAGCTGCCCGATGATACCGCCCTAATTACACGACAAATGAAGCATTTTCCACTGCATTTTGCCAGGTGCGTTGCCTGGACTTGAAATGGTTTGCTTATTCATAGTTATTTATAAACTATTATAATTATATTTATAGAGATGTTTTCTGTTCGGAGAACTTGTTAAATTGTGATGAGAAAGTGAATTGGAAGGATTGTCTGCTTGACAATGAGGAGGAGAAAGCAAATGTTGTTGAATTTCGTAAACGCTTTGCGCCCTTCGATTTTACAGATGATTGATTGATTGTTTGCTGATTGATGATTAAAAGCAGAACATAATTCGTGAGTTCAAAAATTCTGTTTTACTTATTGCATATACTATTGCCATTGCAATTTAGTCTAAAATCTATTATGTATACTATTTGCAGATAGTATTATGTTTAAGAGTCTCTTTGATAGATTTTGTTAAGTATTTGCAAGAATGTTTGATGCGGCACTCCCCGAGATGTTTGCTGTATGTGAGTTTTTATCATATTGTAAGATTCCTCCTCGAATATGGCATATGTAGAGGGCAAGCTAAGCTCTTTATATAGAGCCTTAACACGCTCGACTTTGAGGGGGTCTGCAAGTACAAAATTGAAACATTTAGTTGCATCTGAGTATAAATAGCTTTTTCATCTTTACCATTTTGTCCGTAACAGTCTATCATGATTTGCTTCTGCTCCGCATTGGCGCGCTGCATGGCCACCACAGCGAGCCAGGAGCATTTGTTGTCCTGTATGTCGGTGCCCACTTTGCCGGTGACCTCTGGATTGCCAAAGCAGTCAAGAAAATCATCTTGCACCTGGAAAAAGTGGCCCATTTCAAGTAGAATCGTCTTTGATTGTCTAAATGCTTCGGCGTCTTTGTAGCTGCAAAGATAATTAGGTTCTTATATAAATCACTAATCAGAGTTGTCAATTCATACCCAGCTAGATGCATGGCTAGCGCAAAGGGCAGATAGAAGGAATAATGTGCCGTCTTATTTTCCACAATTGCCTTGTAGGTCTCCATAGTAAAGTCTGAGACACTTTTATTTGAGTTGAGCAAATCGAGAGACTGTCCACAAGTTGTGATGTAGGTGACCTCGTGAAACAGCTCCATCAAAGCCACATAACAATCCAAATGACTGAAATGTTGCTTAAGTATCGCATACACGGCATTCTCTATCATTAGGGCATCATTAATGGCTATGAGGCCCACTGATTCTACCTGATGCCAGCACTTTTGGCCTCTGCGCGTGATACTATTATCCATCACATCATCCGATATAATGAAGAAACTTTGCAGCTGTAATTTATGAACAATTAAAATATTTAAATTTAGTAATTTTGAGTATGTCTCGACAAGTCCTCACCATTTCGACACACCAGCCCAAATATTGAGCTAGTTTTATATTCTCAGGGGTTAGGTCTTCGGCAGGCACTAGATTTTTGTATGTGAGCACCGTTAAGATGCCACGATTCTTTTTGCCACGGGGCACATTGTATTGCAAGACCTGGGCGAACCATTTCACAGCATCATTACAATTGAATCCCTTTGTATAGGTGGTTAGGTCACGGACCACATCTGAAACGGTATAAATAAAATATCATTCATATACAAATATATAAATGCAAATATTTTAGCATTATTATGCTAATTGATGATCACCTGGAAATACGGCCATAAAGTCACGACTTTCATCTTTTGAAACTGTGACGCGCGCTGCAATTGGCACCGAATGATTTTGAAGCGTTGATAAGGTTCTGTGGAAAACCCGAAATATGAATAACGTATATATAGTAATAACAGAAAAATACTGCTACAAATGATGGTTGTTGACGGAAAATACTGTTGCAACAGCTGTCTGCGGCCTACGTGACCGGCCACTTTCACTCCATCTATACCACGCCCCTAGCGGTCCGAGCAGTAAACAGCATCACAATGTAAACAATTTCGGTTTCATCTTCTGTTTTCTCTTACCTCGTTGTCTTCTTTAGTTTCTGCTCGATGACTAATTCAGAGGGCAGGCCGCCAATTGTATCCACAGATTTAACTTCGTCGCTGGTTGATATAAATCTACTCATTAATGCAGGGCGCTGCAGTAAACGCTGCTGCGGCAATAGCTTTTGCGCTAACTTAAACATGTTTGGGGCTATTTTCTAGAAGTTATGCGTTTTTCAACGCAATACAAGATCGATTTAGTCTATAGTTGATATTACTATTCTTGCTACATTCACACAGAGCTTCTTCAGTCTTTTGATAATTTCGGCAGCACTACAGTTCAAAAATTTTACTTAAAATTGAATTCGTCGTAAAAAGAGAACAGTCGGTTGTTGCGCACTTGACATAAATGTTTGCTAGTCGAAAGTCGAGAGATTTTTGACCCACCAACTAGTGTGGTCGCGACTCGTGAGTCTAAATATTCATATGGCCAGCAGAAATACTAAAACTATCGTAAAAAACTCCACATATATCGATTGTTGGACGCTTCGATAGATGAGTTGTCTCAACGTTGTTGCACATCGCTAATCGCCGAAAAGACTGGAGCGCAGGCAAATAACAAGAAAAATAAAAATCGTAGTTTGTTTCTGTTTTATAACTACATCATGATGGATGAGCAACTTATTGATGAAGTAGCTCAACATGGTGTCATCTACAATCGGCAAAAGTATTATTTAAATGGCAGCGCCAGCGGCGGGAAATACGAGACCAAGGACGAGGCTTGGCAGCTCATTGCGTTGAAGCTGCGGACAGACGGTAAGCCCAATAAAAAAGTTTCAACTCGATTTGCGCTAATTAGCTGAGTAAACTTAATAAACAAATACACTTTGATTGGCAGTGGAAACGTGTAAGAAGCGATGGAAATATCTGCGTGAACGTTATGTATCACAACGCAAACAAGGCGATCCACCTGTTTACGAGCATTTATCTCGTCCATACTTGGAAAAAATGAAATTCCTGGATCAGCATATACAGCCGCGTAAATCCTATCGAAACGTGCCCAACTTTTTGACCTCACCGCAATCGGCGAACAGCTCCAATTACAGTGAATATAATGTGGATTCCAAGTCGAATAGCTCACACAAGAATATGTCGCATTTCGGTGGCCAGAATCATCATTATCATCATCAGCAACAGCAACAGTCGGGAACGGTAGATCAGCAGCATCCAATGAATGCACTAAGCACAGCTGCAGCCTCAGCTCTAGAGAATGTCAATGGACAAGTGAAAATAGAGGCGGAAATATTTAGAGATTTTGCGGCAGCCGTAGCCTCGCAGCAACTTCAGCATATATCACAATCACAAATGCAGCAGCAACAGGCGGCGGCTGTGGCCGCAGTTATGGCTGACTCTTCGCAGGGCTATCAGGAGCCGATAATGAATGGCACTGGCAGCACAGGTGGCCTTACCTCCACGTCTTCCTCAATGAAATCACCGCTGTCGTCCCCTCTGCCTGGTATGGGTGCAACTCAGACCACACAGCAAGAGGAGCAGGCGACTGCAATAGCGTCTCAACAGTCAGCTGTACATTCCTCATCCAATGTTCAGGCTAACTACAGTCATAAGAGCAGCGATGAAATGCATTCCTCCTCCAATTATCACAATAAGAAGCCCCGCGTGCAACTGAACTCGAATGGTGTCAGCAATCATGCACAGCATGCCAGCAACGGTATATCTAATCCAAATGGACATTTTGGCCAAGACACCGATGATGACTCGGATGACAATAGCACTGATCTAATGGAACCACAGACAATGTTGCACCATGATAATCACTACAACAATTCAATCAATATGCAACGCAACAACTCAAATGGTAATGTCAATGGTAATAATAATAATAATCAACAGCAGCAGCAACATCAGCAACAACAACAACATCAACAACAGCAGCAACAACAACAACAGCAACATCCGAATATGTTTCCATCGAATACGGATTTTCTCTTCCAGCTTTATCAGCAGTTACCACAGCAACAGGCTGCTGGTAGCTCACATGCTTCCAACTTTGGCAAGTTCCAAACGCCATCAAATCCACATGGCATGCAACGTTCCTCGGAACATTTACTGGGTGAACTGGTCACCACGGAGCTGTTGAAAATGAATAAAGATCGTCGGAAAAATGTACAAAAAAGAATATTGGAAATACTCTTCTTTGATGATTAGGCAGCAGGGCAGCAGAGTCCTACAGTATTAAGAGTTTCTGTTGTACATAGTGTATATATAGGGTATATGCGATTATACATATTATTTAATTTATGTTTTAAGCTTAAAGGTTGCATTCAGAAGTTAAATTCAAAAATGTAGTAAAGAGGATAAATTATATAGTTGGATAAGTATAGTCCAACACTTATTTAGTATGTTTTGTCGACCTGTTGAATTGTATATCTAGATATATATAATTATATACATGTTTAAACATTAATTCTTCATTATTATTTGAGCTTAAAGTTTTCGTAAGTTGTCCGGTTTTCCATAACTTTGTTCGTTAGCCCACCAAGGCATTTGAAAGGATGTTTCATTTGCACTAGTCATGAACTAAGTATATTGAAAAATTTTCCAATTAGAGCTTAGGTTATTATTAAGCGGGTTTAATGTATAATGTATACCTAGTATACTTAATTAAGCTAAGTAAAACTCATTTATAATTTATTCAATTTATGTTTAATAAAATGTATATGTAACTATATATATATCTAAATATATATATATATATGAGTGTATGAACGTAGGTTTAGTTAATGTTTAGCCATATTAAGAACGGTTAGATGTAGTCTATATATATATATATATATATGGGAATCTATGTTATGGTCTGGAAACCCGCCGTATCCTTCAGTTCGAGTGGCTTCCACCATAGATCTACGCTGTGATGAGTTTTCGGATTGGGCGTATCACAACCCGTCGTACAATTCGACTTATAATTATCAGCTGGGTCTGGCGATTGGAGAAAGATATTATGTATTACATATGCATATATGATGTGGGATATATCATTATCGGATGCCTACCATATTTATGATCGTGGTCCTCGTCACAGTTTCTGGGACAGAAGACGACCTTCACATCGATGGGCTCGTATACCTTCAATATTAGCTCGGGCACCTTTTCCGTCGTATAGTAGCCGGCCGTTGTATACTCTAATAATGATGAACGATTCGTGTGAGTCACTGGGGGGTTGCTATTGCTAGCGCTGGCCGCTTGTAGCGGCATTAGGTGTATGCTTTGATTCTTTGATTGCAGCAGCCACGGCTTTTGATTAACCGTTAGAATCTCTTGGTGTGTGGATGCTGCTGCCAATTTTGTCTGTTGAGTGGTGCGAGTGGTTGGTCTGGTGGTTGCTGTCTCTAAGTCCCTTACTTGACTAAGACTTTGCAGCGTCTGTAGTTTTTCTTGACGTGTATTTCTGAACTTCTCTGTAGTTGTCGCTTGTGTGGTGCTCGTGGTTGTGATTGTGGTTGCTGTGGTTTTAGGGTTTACTGTGTGTTTGTTTAGTTGCAATTGCTGTATTGAGTTTTTCATAAAACTGAACATCTCTTGCCGTGTGGGTCCTGGTGTTGGCTGTGTCTTGCGAGTGGTGCTGCTGGATGTTGTTGTGGTTGTTGTATTGGGCGTTACTGTGGTGCTGTTCGCTTTCAATTGTCGTGTAGGATTTTCTTTCAGTGTGGGCTTCTCTTGGCGCGTGGCTACTGCAGCTTGTGGAAGCGTGTTGTGAGTGGTGCTGGTGGTTGTAGCTGTAGGGCTTACGCTGTGGCTTGCTGCTGCTTCTGTCTGTGTGTTGCTGCTAGTGGTGCTGGTGGTTGTTGTGTTGGGTTTTACTGTGGTGCTGTTTGATTTCAAAAGTTGTGTACGACTCGATTTTATCTCCTGGCCCCTATTTGATAGTGTGGTGCGAGCATTGCTTGGAGATACTGTTGCTGTTGCTGTTGCTGTTACTGTTGTTTTGGCTTTTACTATGCTGTTGCTATCTAGAAAATTGTCATGCTTTGATTTATGCTTTGATATTTCATTAAATTGCTTCGCTGATTGCTTGAGAAATGCGGGTACTGGCAGCGGCACACTTTGTGGCTTAAGTGCAGAAGTCTCGGACATTTGTTGCTGCTTGGCCTCGCTCGTTAACCCATTCACCTGGTGGAGAGACGGGTGCAGGGAGTGTCGCTTGGCCGTGGCGGCTCTAAGCGCTGCCTGCTTAATAGTGGCCTCTGTGGCTACGCCAGTGGCTCTGTCTGCTTCCTCTGCATCGTTTACATACTCATAATCCTCATCGTCGTAGTATTCTGAGCTGCTGCCTATTGCGTTTAAGCTCTTGGTTGTTGTGGTACGTGCTGTGGTGCCCGCAGTTGTGCTACTGCTGCTGCTTCTGCTGAGTGGTGCTAAGGTGGTGCTCGTTCTGCTCAGCTTCTGTCTTAGCAGACGCATCAATAGGCTTTTTGGCACGCTCAAGTCATTTCGACTGCTTGTAATTTCATTAGCAAACAAGTTGGGACTCTTGCTGGTGGTGGAGCTTAGTGGTGCAGGCGGCATGGTGTTGGCTGCTTGAATTATTTTCTGTTTTAGCAGTTGGATCAGCGTCTGCTTTTGGGCATTCAAGTCGGGTTTTGCGGTGGTCTGTTGAGCCTCTTCCATGGGCTCATCATTGGCATAGTCCGAATCCACATAGTTTTCGGAGTAATCTCTATCATCGGATTTGGATGCGGTTGCATTAGCTACAGCTGGCACCGGCACACTGGAGCTAGTTTCTAGCGGATCGATGGCAGCAGCTGCTGGTGGGGTTATTGGTTTTGTGGTGCTTTCCACTGAAGTTATCGTCGCAGTGGTGCTCTTGGTGGTGCCAGCTGTACTGTTTATTACTGGCTTTTTATCTGCCAGATCATGCTTATCAACCACATTCTCCAGCTCATTCGTATCGTACTCGCTATCATAGTACTCCGAATCGTCAGCTTCAGCTTCTTTGGTGGCATTTTGTGGTATTGGTAATTCGCGCGTCAGCTGCTTGATCGACTGCCTCAAGGACACGGCTATAAAGGGCTTCGATGTGGCCAAATTGTGCCTCGCCATTTGGGCAAAGGTTACCTTCGATACGGGTGCAGCTGTTGTCGATATCACCTGGAAGAGCTTCTTGAGTATATGTGCTGCAGCTATGCTGGACATGGTCGAGGGCTTTGCTAGTGGCTTTTCCGTTGTCCACTTCGCTGTGGTGCTGTCCTCTTCCGGTGCGGGCTCATCGTTCATATAATCTAGGCTACCCTCGCTGGAAACTAAGCTCTTGGACAACAGCGAGGATGGCGAATCTCTTTCACCAAATAGATTTTTGCTCGATTTGTTTATAACAAATTGTGTTTCGGTTTCTGTGTGTTTGATGTTGTTGAGTTGTTGTTGTTGCTGTTGTTGTTGTTGCTGTATGCATTGTGTGTCTGTAAAGCAGTTGATTGAGTGTGGTTGAGTGTGTAAACTTGGTATAAGCTGCCCACTTGGAGTTGTGTGTATAAAAAGACATTGGGATAATATAAATTCGTTTGAGACTTACCTTCAGATTGACAAGGAGGCAGTTTGGTGGCCGTGGTTAGCTCCGATGTTGCAGTGGTGTTTGTTGTTGTTGGCGCCAGAGTTGTTGGTTGTTTGGTTGATGTCACTATCGAGGTTGTTGGACTCGGGGTTGTTGGTCTTGCGGTTGTTGTTGGTTGAGCAGTTGTGGTTGGCTTGATGGTTGTCGATGTCTTAGATGATGTTGCTGGCTTGGGAGTTGTTGTTGCCTGAGAAGTTGTCGTTGGCTTAGGACTTGTTGTTGGCTTAGCAGTTGTCGTTGTATCAGCAGTTGGGGATGGTTTAGGAGAGGTTGTAGGAGCTGTTGTGGGCTTAGGAGTTGTCGTTGGCTTAGGTGTTGTTGCTGGCTTGGAAGTTGTTGTAGGCTGAGTAGTTGTTGTAGGCTGAGGAGTTGTTGTAGGCTGAGGAGTTGTAGGCTGAGTAGTTGTTGTAGGCTTGGGTGTTGTAGTTGGATTCGATTTTGTCGTTAGAACGCTTGTTGTTATTGGCTCAGCAGTTGTTACCTCCGATGTCGTAGTGGCTGGTGTTGTAGTTGTTGTTGGTGTAGTCGTAGTTGTTGTTGGCCTGGGAGTGGTTGTTGCCTCAGTAGTTGTTGTTGGCTTAGGAGTTGTGGTTGTAGGCTTGGGAGTTGTTGGCTTGGGAGTTGTTGGTACTGGTGTAGTTGGGGCTTGACTAGTTGTGATTGGCTTAGGTTTTGTCGTTAGTTTGGAAGTCGGAATTTCATTGGTGGTTTCTCGCTTAAAAGTAGTTGATTTTACAGTTGTTGTCGGCTCGGGATTAATTGATGTAGACTTAGGTGATGTTGTGGGCCTAGGCGTTGTTGTTGTAGGCGTCGTTGGTTGAGGAGTTGTTCTTGATGGAGTCGTTGATTGAGTTGTTGTAGTTGGTTGAGCTGTTGAGGGTTGAGTTGTTGTTGCTGGCTGAGGAGTTGTTGTTGGTTGATGTGTTGTTGTTGGTTGAGGCGTTGTTGTTGGTTGAGGAGTTGTTGTTGTCGTTGGTTGAGTAGTTGTTGAGGGTTGAGTTAGTGTTGTTGGCTTAGGTGTTGTCGTTGGTTGAGAAGTTGTTGAGGGTTGAGTTAGTGTTGTTGGCTGCGGAGTTGTTGTTGGCTGAGGTGTTGTTGTTGGTTGAGGCGTTGTTGTTGGTTGAGGAGTTGTCGTGGGTTGAGGAGTTGTCGTTGGTTGAGAAGTTGTTGTTGTCGTTGGTTGAGAAGTTGTTGGTTGAGGAGTTGTTGATTGAGAAGTTGTTGTTGTGGGTTGAATTGTTGTTGGTTGAGGAGTTGTTGAGGGTTGTGTTGTTGTTGTCGGCTGGGGAGATGTTGTTGATTGAGGAGTTGTTGTTGGTTGAGGGGCTGTTGTTGGAGGAGTTGTTGTTTGTGTACGAGCTGTTGTTTGCTTCGTTGTTGTTTGCTTTACAGTTGTTGTGGGCTTAGGAGTGGTTATTGTGGTCGTTGTCGGCCTTGTTGTTGTCGTTGGCTGTGAAGTTGTTGTGCTTGGTTTCTTAGTTGTTGTAGAGGTCTCTGTTGTCGTTGAAGGTGTGGTAGCTGGTGGTGGCCTCACAGTTGGCCTCGTTGGCTTTGGCTTAGTAGGTGTTGGCTTGGTAGTTGTTGCTGGTGCGTCTGATGTACTAAGCACCACTGTGGTAATGATTGGCTCTTCAGTTGTCGGTGGGATTGTGCTTTTGGGCGCCGGCGGCAGTATAACAATTTTTTTCTGGATTAAACTTCTGAAGCCAACACTTGACGGCTGAACCTGAAAAGTCCTAAACTCTAAGTTACTAGACGGAGAGTCCGTGCTTTTGGCAGTTGTAATGGAAGTTGTGGTTGGAGCCGTGGTAGAGTCGGTCTTTTGGTAGGAAGGATATGTAGGGTAGGGGCGCTTCGGAGGGTATTTATCACAATCTGTTTCTGGCTTGTCCGTTGTTGGGATGATAACAATTTTTACTGAAGATTCTGGGTCTGGAGTCTCTTCAAGCAGCGCTGCTGGCTCTATGAGCGGACTTCCGTAGTTGTAGCTAGGATATGCGGGATTTGCCGGGTAGTAAGGATATGCAGGATACGACGGATATGAAGGATACGAAGGATACGAAGGATATGACGGATATGATGGATAGTCTGGATATTTGTTGGTGGGTGCTGTAGGCGTGGCCACCGTTGTCGCCGTTGTTGGTTTGGGTGTAGGCTTCGTAGGCAATATAACTATTTGAAGACGTTGCTTGGGACTTTCAATGCTTGGTGCTTTAGAGTCCTCGGATATCGAGCTAGTTTCGGGCTGCTCTGGTTGCTTCTCTCGTGCCCCAGTGTCAAAGTCTGCTTCGGAGACATAGGGCTGATAAGGCGAAATAGGTGCATAGGATAGATAGCCTTGGCAATCGACTTCATGATGGGGTCGGCAAAGTTTTCGCTTCGGGTCGTAGCTGTTGTTGCCAGGACATCTATGAAATATACGGTGTTCCATTAAATTGCATACGATTAGAGTCTCGTAGGAAACTTACTTGAAACGCGTTTGCAAATAGTTTCCACTAGGCTGTAATTTGCAGGTGTAGTACAAGGCGCAATCCTTCGGTGATCTAAACGTGCCCTCTGTCGTGCATTCGGGAAACTTGAGCTCGCAGTTCTCTGGTATATAGCTGCCGCTGTTCGATATCTCAGTCGAAGGACACTCATCGCCGGGTATGCACTTGCCTTCCAGTTGCGAGAATATGGTGCCTGTGGGGCAGCCGTAGAGCTGAGGCGTCAAATTCCTATCGCATTTGTAATAGATTCTGCAATCGTATTGATAGGCGAAGCGACCCTCCTTCTTGCAAATCGGTGGATAATCGGGATTCACGCGCTCCACGCAGCGGCCAGTGGCTGAGCTGAATTTCTGAATGGGTAGAGAGATGATGGAAGCGATATCATAGTATAGGTCTAGTAGAATCAGAAGGAGAGTAGCCTACCTTCAGTTCGGGGCATTTGCTGAAGATGACGCAGTTGGGTTGGCACACATAGTAGTATTGCTGCTGATCGGGATGGGGCTTTATGCCCACGTAATTCCTTGAACAACGATTGTTCTTTCGATATGAAAAGAAACACAAATGTAACTTGTCGCATATGGATATTCACAGATCAGCTAAACCTACATAGTCCACAGCTATAGGATTTCCGCCACCCGGCAGGAATCTGTGCACGCCGTAAATGCTGTCGTAATAGCTGCCCGGCGGGTTGTAGAGCATCGGACTGGGCCGAACCCCAGCATAGGCTCTAGCGGCCGCATACGTATAGGGCGAGTAATAGTACGGATTATGTGGAGGCGGATGAGGAATGCCATATCCACGCGGCACTTGCAGCGAGCGGGCATTGATGGCCACCACAAGGGCCAGCAGCCAGATGGAGGTCGTCATAGTATTAGCCACTCGATTATACTTTATTTATAGATATCGTTTATATGTGATCAGTTATGGGTTATTTCAGTTAACGGGTTTCGTCTTCCCTTTGTTTGTTTTTTGATTGCACATTAGTTGAAACCGAATTTCGCGCTTTGATTATCCTTTGCTGCGGGCGCGCTCGCGCTTCGTTTGTTACTTGTGGCTTAGAGTCGTAGTGCACGGCTTTTAAATGCACTTTGTTCGCTTTAAGAATGTTGCATAATTGAAATGCCAAATGTGCTGATGCGTGATTTATGCTGAAGAACCTAAACGCAGTCGCTGCTCGCTTCTTGCTGCTCGCTGCTGCAAGAAAATAAGCCAACAATATTTTCTCACTTCGTCTAAGCGCGCTGCATCGATTCATGAGTGCACGCCACGTGCGCCGAGAACCGGAAGAGAAGCTGCTAAAGCATCGCAGCATTGCTGCAGCTCCAAAGAATACCTGACCCAAGCTCATCTTGATGCTTTGCTCTGGAGCGAGATGGCGAGCGTTTGGCTTCCGTTGCGACTACAATTTTTTGTTGTAGTTCTTCTTGCTTTCTTGATTTTTATTTACCACAGTTAGCATATGGTGTGAGTAACTGTACCCTATAATTGTGGTGATAGTGGGTATATTGGTTTTGCTGTGGGACTCGGCCATCTCTGTGGTAGTTCTTCCCTTTTGTACATCCATTTGACTTTGGCTTCCTCTGGCGACTCGTCAATGGATCTTCTTTTGTTCATTTGTTCATAAATCTTGTTGTCTTTTACCAACGTTGCTCTACTTACAACTCTGTCCTTATCATATCATTACCTACGATGTAGTCAAATAGGGATATGGCTCCACACATCCTGGTCTAGACCTCCTTCTACCTATTTCTATTTCTACCTAATTTTCGATAGACATTCCTCATCGAACTGAACTCTTGACCTCTTCATTATCATAATCCAGGGTATTGCATAGTTTGCCACTATCACTCCGTCGCACTTGTTTTTGTTTTAACTCGTGGACGTGATCGATGCGGCTGCAGTTGTTGATGCCGGAACAAGAATCGTACAATGATTAAGCGAAATGCTTCCATGCGGTATGATAAAAAAACCAACTGGGCCTGATATAGTTAGCATGCCTTTGGCATGGCAACAATCGTCTATCCATCCATAGCTGCTCGTATTATTGAATATTTTAAATAGCTATAAGCTAGTATAGATCAAAGATAGATATTGTTCAGTATGGAAGCTAAGAACCATTCATGTAACCCGCTCGTAATTGTCATTGACAATCGTGAAGCGTTTCTTCTGTAATTGTTTATTTTACTTTTTAATATTTACACGTAGGCGAGAATTACGCATAGAAATATTTTCGTGCTGGTGCGTCTTTTAACACGTTCACAGTTCTTAGCCGAAGCGGCACGAATTTTCGGCTAGACGCAGAAAAACCCCGTACCGATAAAGCCCGGTATTCACATGCATATACAAATATATATATATATTGATGTATGTGTGTATTTTTGGAGTAGTTATGTTATAATATAGATGTGCACTTACACAAAAAAAGGGCTCTTGCATAAGCCCTTAGTTAAAAATAACTGTAAACGGTCACGTTTTGTATGAAAAAAACTCATCATTGCTCGAGAATTACAATTATTTTAATAGTTATTCTAAACAAATAAGAATTTTTTGAATGGGTGCTTTGGTCTTCTGCTAAAAAATATAAATTGAAAATTTAATAAGCTTAGAGAAAATGGAGTCATATATTTGAATGGACTTAAGCCTCCTTTAAGTATGGCTTCATACCAGAACGGAGCCACTCGGTTAATAAGAAGCTTGTTTCATTTACCTTATATACCCTTTTTTCATAAATATTTCAAATATGCTCTGATTACTATAAGTTTACCATATAAACATGAATCAGTCATCTAATTGGCTTTGAAGTATGACTGCTAATTCGGGGGCTGACAAATCTCTACAATATCTGAAAATTAAGCAGATTAGAAAACAATCGTGCTGATTTTTATAAATCATTATCTCATAATAAATAATATGATTCATGTAAACCTCATGAAAAAAAACTAATGAGCTCATAGTTTAGTTTGTTTTGGTATGGATAAGTTTTTGAGTTTTATTGCATTTAATATAGTATATAATTTAAATATCTTAGTTATGTAGAAATAATTGTGTGTTTGAGATTTTGCTTTTGGTATTTGCTGTTGTTATTAAGATTAATATAGATCGATATTCGATTTGAATTGGCTTAGATCTACTTGGATTATCAATATATTTGATATTGAGCCTCGAAACGCTAGTCGAGGTTACCGAATGCACGTGCAGTAGCCTAATGCAGTGGGCTGTTGATGTGTATTGGATATATCCGTAATATAAAACTGATTTGTTCAGTTCAATATGCATATTTTTAGGCAGATGGTTTCGCTTGGTATTTACAGCTAATCACAAGAAGACGAGCAAAATTTCCTTGTGCATTACATTTTAGACCTCTTGATTATCTTCCGACTCGGCGACCATGGTCAGACTTCGCAGCGATCTGTATTGAAACGAAAACAAAAAATATATTAAACAGAAATCAAATATATATACATGTATGTATACTGTGAGTAATCTAATTATATGTAAGAGACACGAGCTTTTCGTGTTAGATTGAGCGTCTTGTACGAAATGTTGACTGATTAGCCTTATCATTATCAGAGAGCACATGCCCAGAGCTACAGCAGATGCGAAAGCTTCACTTTAGTCTTTGGCTGTCTCTCGAGATTGGTGCCTTTGAAGATTGAATAAGAATAATGAAGTACTTGTGTCTATTTATATGGTTAATCTGGTTAGTTCAGGCGAATGCATGTAAGTTGGTAGATAGCAAAAAAATGAAAAAAAAGAAAAGAAAATCGTAAAACGGTTTAGCTGATTAATTGTGCTTCAACGTTTTCTTCAGCTGTGGGCGATTTGCCCACATTTACGGGCGTCTGTGCCCTGCAGGGCGATTGGTGCACTACCAGATGCCAAATAGCTGGCGGACGTGATGGCATTTGCAACAAGATGCAGCTATGCATCTGTAGGCCGCTCTAGTGCGCATTTGATTAGAAACAAATATCACACAGAAAGAGGAAATTCTAAAAAGCTTTTATATATTTACAATTGCGTACGGTTCTAATGGCATGCGGATTGCTAGAGCTGAGACGAAATAAAATTCACACAATCAGATCAAAAGCGAGCGAGTATTCAAATTGAGTTTACCTGGAGCGCTCGAAGAGCGAGGGATCGGTGTAGATCGGCTCACTGGGATCCTCGAACTGATGGTTGGAGTTGCCGGCAGTGCGTATGGGATTTATCACTGGCAGCTGGCACATGCGCGCCAAATTGCTGTAAGCAGAGAGACAGAGAGAGAGAGAGATTTCGTCAGCTTAAGCGATAAGTGGACTGGTCTGGACTGGATGTGCTCACCCCGTGGCAAAAGTCTTATGTAATGAGCCGCCAAACATGGACATGTTGGTGCGAAAAGCGTTTGAGGCGCGATTCGATGTGCTGCGATTGCTGCCAGCTCCAGTTCCAGATCCAGTTCCAGTTCCAGTTGCTCCACTTCCATTTGGCATGTGGCCAATTTCGGTGAAGCGCTCGTGGGTGCGTATCGAGGAGTGGGAATGACCCAGCGAGTGTATGGGCGAGTGGCGATCGACCAGACGATTCTTTGATATCGATTTCCAATAGCGTCTGCAACGAAAGATGTAGATAGCGAACAGACAGCAAATTGGGCTTCCAAGAAAAACTAGCTCACCTGTAGCCCAATCCTGCAACTAGCGTAATGCTAAACAGTAGAATCATTAGCAAGATTATAGCCGTGATTAGGCCATGATACTCAGCGGGCGTCATGCAAACAGTTTCGACCGGGGCCACCAGTTTGCGTGGATAGGATTCCTTTTCAATTTCCTCGCGAGTCTCAAAAACCTGATCAAATATTTCAGCTCAGCATTATATTCATCTCTCATTAATTATTAGAAACCTACTTCAATCATTTCTCGCACTTGCTCTGGTTCCTCATTCTCCTTGGACTTGTCACTCTCCTGAGTGGCATTCAGCTGCGCACCACCCATTTTAGCACTGACTGTGGTGCTATTTACCACCGTGATCTCCTGCTCCTCCTGATCATTGATAGCCTCCAGTGCCTGGGGCTCGGGCATTTCCTCGGTTAGGTTCAAGCTGCGTCGCCTGCGCCCGAAGGAGGGCTCCTGGCGACCCGCCGGGCCGGGACAGTAGGCGGGCTGGCAGCCGTCGCGACAGGACCTAACTGTCGCCTCAAACACTAGGAAATTGGATTCGGGTATTTTGAAGGCATTGAAGCGAGCCTCCAGTGTGTCGCCATCGCGCAGTTTGTCCAGCTCGGGGAAGACATACGGATCCACAGGGCAGCTAGAGAAAAATACGAGTCAAGGGAAATTCCCATGCAGCCTCTATATATACATTACCCAAAGCGATCTATTAGCTGAATGCTGCGCCCAGAGTATGGATCCCTGGCCACCACATTTGTGGCAAATATATCGGTGACATGATTGTAGCCATCCTGTGCCTCCAGTCGGAAAGTGAGAGGATCACCCACAGCGATGGTTGTTGTGGGCCTGCCCTGATAGAGAATGCTCAGACGCACCTTGGAGCTCAGCGTGTTCTCGGCTGGCAAATATTCTATGGGTATGGGACTGCCCGAGCTGTGATGGCAAGAGAGAGAGAGAGAGAGAGAGAGAGTCAAGTATTAATCATCAACAAAGCTAATGATGATAATCATCTTGGCTAATGTTTACCCGGCGCCGATATAGCCAGAGCTGACGACCGCTTCGCCGGGGCCTCGAAAGATGCAAGTGAGATTGTAGCGCTTATCGCGACTTGTTTGTACATTGTCCGAGAACTGCACGACTACAATATTAGTCAGCGTGTCGCCGTACTGCAAGATAAAATCAAGCGCGAGATCAACGAACGTGATTAATGCATAGAGTTGTAAATTTACTTACACGCTGTGT